AGAATCGTACTTTAAAAAGTAAAATATCTTTTATAGAAGGTTCAGAAGGAAGCGCCTCATTGAATGGATCTACACACATAGATGATATCACACGTGTTCATGTCTCTGAATCATCGTCGCTATCTCCTACATTTTCACAAAAAAGAATACAAATTAAATCTAATGACATTCCAAGTGCCTCATCATCAATAGCTTCATCGAGTCCATCATCGCCACTATCTTCTACATTTTCACACACAAGAATACAGAATAAATCTAACGGTATTCCAAGTGTCCCGTCAAGTCCCTCATCGACTATAAGGCAACGTTCAGTCTCTCCGCGACCACAATCACCGTCTTTATTAGCTCAAGCTGTTAAAGATTCACCCAAATCGCCAATTCCACAAAAATCTCAAGATCGAGTTCCTATTAAACATAGGCACAGTGATTTGGTACACAAAGCTCTCACCACATTAAAGAAATACGGAGAGTCTCTAGATGGTTGGGAATTTTATTCGGAAAATAAAGGAGTAAAAATTTATATGAAAGAAGTTCCAGGAAAAACAATGCCAATTATGCGCGGTGAAGCGACAATAACTGGTGGATGGACTGTTGACGATCTTCTAGCGACTATTCTTGATCCATCTTGTAGAAAAATATGGGATGACCGTTTAGAAGATGGTATGATTCTAGAGCGTCTAAATGATGCCGACGTGTTGGTAAAGACCATGATGAAAGGCACTTTTCCAATTAGGTAATTTATATATTATTTAATATTGATTTAAATGACCTTATAATATTACTAATTAAATTCTAATAATATTGTTATTTTAGTGGTCGTGATTTATCTACAGCTGTGACAACTGAACGTGATCCATTTTCTGGTGCTATCTATAATGCTGGTTGTTCTGTGATCGATCCTGCAATACCAGAAACCAACAAACATGTACGTGCTCAATTAGATTTGGCAGGTTGGATTCTTCGCCCTCATTTTGATTTTGCTGGATTCACATCCGCTGTTGATGTCACTTATATTGTTGATATTGACATAAAATTGCAAAGTATTCCATCAACTATTCTAAAAACAATTTCCACCGGAACGCCAATGTGTATTGCCAGAATTGACGAATTAATACAAAAGAATGGATATCCACCATATGTGCGTAATACTAATGGTAAAGTAGTATCATCAGCATTCAATTTGAAGAATTGTCAATATGAATTGACATTAAGTGATCTGAATCCTGGTGCTATCACGGAAATTTGCGCTAGTAGAAAAATGTATCCCTCAGGTTTTGATATTTCAATCAAACCTGAAGGGTCTAAAGTAGAACTATTGGCAAATAATACCGAAGTAGTGCGTATTACCATGCCAGAAAAAGCCAGTTATAAAACGTTGAGCATCGTATTGACTAAACAGGCATCCAAAGAAGCGCAATTGACCCTCAATGGAAAACAAAGTATCCCAGTCGTTCCTTCAAGTAATTTGCCAGGACAATTTAATAGTATTCGTTCTTCAAGAACATTTGGAAAAATGGTAACATCAACTTCTCCAACTCGAGCATCAGTCACAAATCAAACATATATAAAACCTGTCTTGCCTGAAGGTAATTTATTATTTTTATGTTAATTCAATATTAAAAATATTTATCAATAATACTTATAATAATAATAATAATTATAATTCTTTCAGTCCCGTCGAATCAAATAAAGGTAAGAAAAGAATAAAATTAGTATTTGTCACGTAAAATTATGCTCAAATCTTTATATATCTCTCGCTTTAGGCTGCAAATTTAAGATCTACTACACCTACCACGTCATCGAACAATATTGGTAAAAATATCAACAATAATTTAGTTGTTAATCAGCCGCCGCCCAATCCATTAAATTGGTATAATAAAGAGGGATCAAATGACACCGAGAATCAAAGCGTGAATATGCCTGCTGTCCGAAACAGCACCATTAAAAAAGATGTGGTAGTGTTGAGCGACACATTACGTTTCAACTCGCATCAAGTTGGATTAATGTTTACATCAATGTTGTTGGCTTATTACGCTGGCAAGCTTAGTGGATGCTAGGGGAGAGTATCATAATTAAACCTTTAATTTTTGTATAACAGCCATATTATTACTATATTCTTTCATTTATTTTAGACTAATCATTAGAGGTAAAAGTGGAGGGCAGTGGAGCACAAATCACGCGTATACGAACATACAACATAATTAATTCCTTCCCTATTTCTATTTTTTCCATATTTCTTCGTGCTTATTTAAAAGATATCGTTTAAATTTCTTTGTCATATCAAAGTTAAATAACATACTACTACTACTACTACTACCACCACCACCACCACCACCACCACCAACAAAACCACCAACCACCACCACCACCACTAATACTATTATTATTAATATATTGTTATTTATACAAATAAATTACTATTTAATCTCGAGATTTTTTACGTGGGATAATATAGTTTTTTCAAGACAGTATTAATCATTCAATTTCAATCTTCAGAACCTTTTCAAGCTCACTATATCAAAAAGGATTTTGTATATCATAATTATTATATTTGTATTTAAACTTTTAGTCAGTGCTCGGAAATGAAAGTTATCAAATAGATATGATAAAGTAATTACGAGATTAGCCGTAAGATTGAAAGATGTACAAGAACTTCGTTTCGCTAAAAATTTGTCATTAATAGCCCCGATGTCTTCACTGTGACATGTGAGTTACTCGTTGGTGACACTAGTCCCGTGTTAAATCCATGTGAAT